GCTTTAAAGACCTAAAACCAATTACTTGAAGTAATTAAAACAATAAAAAAATCATTACAAGAAATTTGTAAATTAAATGACCGTTATATTTTGACTTCAAAAACAAAATTTAATCAAGATGTTGAATTAATTATGACTCATTTTCATCCATCTAAGTCTCAACAACAAAATTCAAAAAAATTAAAAAAAAGTCATCAATATAGTTCAACAAATTTTGGTGCATTTAAATTTCCATTAGAAATTCATACTACTCAAAGAAAAATAAATCCTGAAATGGTTTCTTCTATTAAAAAATTAGACATGAACCATCTTACTGCTGATATTATTGAACAACCACAAACTGCACGTACAGCAGAAAATAGGAATGGCATTGAAATAGAAGAAAGGTATAAAGGAAAGACTTTGAAACAATCTACTGATATTTTAAATTCTTTAACAAAATTAAAGCCCAGAAGAAGATCAAGGTCAATGGCATCAGAAGTTCCTATTACTATTACAACTCCAAAACTAAAAGGAATAGAAATGTATTATGAAGTATTAAAACAATGGAATCAAGCTCAATCATTAAGTATTATTTATGATTCTTCTCAATATCCATTTAATAAAAATGAATTTATTCATTCAATAACAAATAAGTCATCATTATTCTTTATATTCCAAACACAGTCTGATCTTTTTGGATTTTATTTCGGTTCTTCAATATCTGCATTTGATAAATATTTATCTGACGATTACCATTTCATTTTTACACTTCAAACCTCTTTGTCAAATGTTCCAACTCGATGGTTCCCTTCTGCAAAACGATCAAAATATATCCTTAATATCCCTCTTAATTCAAGTCCAATTCTTTTAAGAGTAAATTATAAAGGCTGTCTTGTAATTGGTTATCCTGATACAGAAACCAGTGAGTTGTTGGACATTGGATCTTCATATAAAAACCTTAAAAGTGATTCTTTCATTGGAAGAAATTTTAGTAAATTCAGTATTAAAAACATTATTATACTCCAATCTCAGAATTAATTTATTCACTAATTTCTTTTCTTGATTTTCAGAAAAAAGAAAAATAAAGAATAAATTGAAATTGGTTAGAGAGAATCTTAGTTTTATCCTTTTTAATAAAAACTTTGTTATTCAATAATAAATCTATTATTGGAAATAAATAACTCGAAAGTATTTATTTAGCAATTTTGAGTAAATTTGATTATACAAAAATACTATTTTTTTTTAAAGAAGATGATCGTTATTTTTGCGGAGTATGAAGTTGATGAAACGAGACTAGAACATTAAAAAGAATCTAAAGAAAATTAAAAAAAAGATATCTGAGTAAAAATTCCATCAACTTAAAGATAGAAAATCGCATTGGAACTAAAAAGATAAAAAACTTGAAAAGAGAATTAGTTCAATAATGCTTACTATAAACAAAAACCAAACGTTTATAACATTGGTATCAAGAGCAGACGATATGTGTGCTGCAGCAGAAAATGCCAAGATGGTTGTTAAATTTACAAAACAGAATTTAGAGCCATTTTCTAAAAAATATTTAATTGGAAATCAAAAGGAAATAAAAAATATTTGTGAAGAAAAACTAGAACAAATTAAAGAAATCATCCAAAAAAGAGAAGATGAATTAGTGGAAGGAAAAAAAATTATTGAAAAAATGGAACAAATATTAAAATCTTTAAGAGAAGTTATTGATTTAGAATACGATAATATCGACGAGATTTGTGTTGCTGGAAATCAATTAATTAATGAAACCATTACTAGAGAAATACTTTCTATAGAAAAAACAGCTAATGGAGATCTGTCAACATTTGCAACTAACTTAAAGAGGTATAAAGATGAAGAACAACCAAATTGGGAGAACAAGAAGTTTCATTACCATTTTCCCGAGAAACATAAAAATATTAATGAAGAAATTGTTATCCCTTCTGAAACTCCAAACACTCTTAAAGATGGAGAAGAAGAAGAAGATGACGATGATAATATAAAGTTAAAAAGAAGAAGTTTTATGTTTAAAGACAAAAAGGACAAAGACCGAAACAATAGAAAAAGTATGATTGAAAAATCAAGTTCATACCCTCAAAAAATAGAAGATTCACAAACAATAGAAAAACTAAACAAAAAAGATACTTCATTAAATGATTTAGTTTCTTCATCTCAACTTGAATCAAAAACTAAAAATATTGATGAATTAAAAACTAAAGAACTAACTACTGAAATACTAAATAATGACCAAATTGAAAGTGAAAACACTGAAATAAAAAATGTACCAAATATTAGTAATGGAGAAGAAGGAACATCTGATGAAGAGTTTTCTAAATTAATTCAAATGAGACTTCATAGAACAAATACACGTACTGTTGTTACTGACAGACCAAAAGAATTAATTGATCAATTCATTGAAATGATAAAAGTAAACCAAAAGATATTACAGAAATGGTGTAATTGTGATAACTCTAAAATTATTTTTGATAGTAAAGAACATGAATATTCAATAAAAGATTTTAGTAAATATGTCATTAATTTATCTTATTTATGTATTATGGCTTGTTGTGGAAATGATGCCATTGGATGCTTTGTGAGAAAACCAATTGAATCTACAAATAAATGCATATCAGATCTTAAACATTTTATTTTCACAGTTAAATTAAATCAGCCAGATACAATTAAACAATATTATCCAAAAGGAGAAAATTGGCAACACGTATTTACATTAGGTGGAATTGAAAGTGATTTTTTATATAAAGTAAATACAACTGGAGGATATGAAATAAATACTATTGGAGAAAATACATCGAAAATTATGAATATTTCTTCAACGTATGAAATATCAGAAAAAGATCTTGTATTAGCATGTCTCAAGAATAATAAACCATTTACTACAGATAGAATTATTATTCTCCAATTATTCTAAAATTTTTCTTTTATTATTTATTGTTTCTTTTATCTAGTATTATGATTTTTTATAAATAAAATTTTGCTACTAATCATTCGTTTAATGAGCTTTTCTGGCAACAGCAATTTTAGCAGCAGCATTAATCTTTCTGTTAATAATACTGACTTGGAATTTGTCAAAATCAGTCATCTTTTCTCTAAGAATTCTCTTTTCAATAGCTTTACCTGTAGCAGTTTTATTAAATCTTTTAATAATAGCGTCTTGAGTAAATCTGAGACAAAGTTTCTTGTGAGTCATACCCCTAGTGACTTTGTTTACAACAAATGAAGTAAGAGAGATTGTGTTTAAATTAACAACTTGTCTTGGGACTCCAGTAATAGCTTGTGGCCCATCGACAAGAACTCTATTATGATCAAGAATTTCAACAATAACAGCGAGTTTACTGGCAAATGGACCTGTTTTCATTAAAACTACACGACCAACTTCAACAAATCTACTGAATACCTACAGTTTTATAAATACAAATGTCCTTTCATTTGATTAAACTAATTTTATATTCTTATTAAAATGACAACCAAGAAACAAACCATAACTCTTCTTTTTACTCCCAATATTTTTAGTTCTTTTTAAAAAAAGTAGGGTACTTCTTTTTCTATACTTTTATTATTTTTTTAATTTATATACTTTTTTGTGTTATATATTACATAAATAATAAAATTGAAATATAAAACTTAAAAAAAATGATGAGGTCATCATTTTCTTAAATTAAAAAAAGAAATCCATCGATTGGTTTAAAAATAGAAATAGAACATCTCACCCCTCATAAATAATAGGAACTCCCGAAAAAATCCAGTAAGATAGTATCAAAACTCAAAAAGAAGAAAATTTGAATCGATTAAAATATCAAACAAAAAAGTATCATAATGCTTTGTAAGATAATCTGAACTTGAAACCATTTGGTTTTACTACTGATGGGGGAAAATAAGATTGCTAACAAGTATCTGCTTGTTAAGAAGATTGGGAGTGGGTCATTTGGAGATGTTTATTTGGCTTTGAATAAATCAGAGCCAAATGAAGTGGTTGCTGTTAAAATGGAAAGACAAGACATTGCCCGTTCTCAACTGAATTATGAATATAAATTGTATCAATACCTTAATCAAGGGCCAGCTGTTCTTGGTATCCCATCAGTAATATATTGGGGATTATATGGAAATTATAATGTTATGGTAATGGATTTATTAGGACCATCATTAGAAGATTTATTTAATTTTTGTGGAAGAAAATTCACATTAAAAACAACATTAATGTTAATAGATCAATGCATTAAGAGAATTCAATTTATTCACTCAAAAGATTTCATTCATAGAGACATCAAACCAGACAATTTTGTTATGGGAAGAAATGAAAGATCAAATACTGTATATATAATTGACTTTGGACTAGCAAAAAAATATCGAGATGGAAGAACAAAAAAACATATCGAATACAATGAAGACAAAAATCTTGTTGGAACTGTTCGTTATGCATCCATCAATAATCACCTTGGAAGGGAACAGTCAAGAAGAGATGATATGGAGAGTTTGGCATATATGTTTATTTATTTTATGAAAGGAAATCTTCCTTGGCAAGGAATAAAAGGAACTACTAAAAAAGATAAATACATGAAAATATTATTGAAAAAACAGTTATCTATTAATAATGAACTGTGTCAAGGATTACCTCCTGAATTTGAGAAATTTCTTTCAATAAGTAGAAGCCTTAAATTTGAAGAAGAGCCTGATTATTTTGCAATGAGAAAGTTATTTTGGTCTATTGCCAAAAGAGAAAATATTAAGTTTGATGGAGAATTTGATTGGATTCATTATAAGAATTAAAAATAATTTCTTTCCCTTCTCTTTTACATCAAAGTTATAGTGTTAATATATTTATTGTATTTTCGTTACTTAATAATAAAAGCTTATTTGTTATTTTGGTTTTTATTTTTAAATAATTCTTAAGAGATTGATAGCTAACCATTTTAGTCAGCTGTTACTCTTCTTTATTCTCTTTAGTTTTTAACTATTTAAACAAAAAAAGATTCACTATGTAGTATTAAAAGAATTAAATGCAGATATAAATAATAAAATAAATAAGTAATAATATATATTGTTTATTGGTATTGTAGATTTAGAGATTAATGAAACGATTAATAAAATAAGAAAATGAAACATATATATTGTTTATTCTATTCAAATACTTGAATTTTTATTTTGTGTTTATATTATATTATTTATTCTTCTTTATTTTTTTTATTCTTATTGTTAAAAATTCAAAAAATTAAAACAAAAAAAATGATGAAAAAATTGTGTTTTAGTTATGCAGAACAAGGAAACTTACTTTCTTCCAAATCCCTCAAATGAGACAATTCTTTCACATGGATCTTCGACAATAGAAGTGACGACCTTCTTTCTTTTAAACAATTCGATAGGTCCATTTTCCATAATAAATTTAACATCAACGTCTTCGTCTTGTTTTAATTGTTCTGAAAGTTTTTTGATTTCATCATTATAATGTTTATGTTTTTCCATTACTTTTTTAATGTTTGTTGCTACAGCAATTCTAATTTCACTAACTTTATCTTTACTTGCAAATTCTAAAGATGGAAGAATATATGGATTAAATTGGTCTGGTGGAAGAGCAACAAATAATGATGTAGCAACAGTTACAAAATCAATTCTTCTAACTTTCATTGGATCTTTAGACATATCTGTTAATTTTTGAATTAATGAAGATGCTCCAACATATCCACAAGTCAAAAAAGCGTTAATTACATCACCCATTCTTTTTGCTGCTGCATGCCTAACTTTATTAACATTATCAATAAGTAATGCAACACAAATTTCTTCAACATAAGATGAATACATTGGTGTGCTTTGTGCTAATAATCCTAATTGTTTTGCAATAGACTTTCTTATTCTCCAATCAGGAGATTGAACACTCTTTTGTAATAAAGTAATAATTGTAACTGATTTCTCTTGTCCAAGAATTGGAATAAAATCAACTACATGCATCATTGATACTTCTTGTATTTCTTCATAATCTTGAAGATATTTATCAAGTGCTGGAATAAGATAACTCATTGTAATTTCATTTCCAACTTCATGTGCCAATAAATGTAATGATGATGCAATACATTTTCTATTTTTCCAATGTACACTAAGTGCTAATTTACTAAAAGAATCAGCAACAAGATTCCATTGATTAGCACCAATAGTTTGAATTAAAGTAACAAAATAATAGGCAGCATAATATTGTTGTTCTGAATCTGCTTCTGTTCCACAATTATTATTAAAGAAATCAATAATTTTTTGATTAATTAAGTCTTTACCAATGAATTGAATAAACTTACCAAAATTAACAATAACTTGGAATCTAACATATCTAGAATTATCTTCAATAAACTGAATAATATATTCTAATACTTTTGATTTATTATTAATAAATATATTAAGAATTTGATTTAATACAACAACACATGTTTTTCTAACTGAATAAACTGAGTCTTTTGATAATTCATCAAATATTGAAAGTACTTCTGGAATATCTTCTTCTTCAATATTTGATAATATTGCTGGGAATGTAGTAACAGCTCCTTTTCTCATGACAAATTGAATACTTTGTGACATTTTCTTTAATCTATTAAAAATAAATTTTTTTACATTTTCTTTTGATGATTTAGCTGCAAAATAAATAAGTAAATCAAGTCCTATTGAACTTATAAATCCATCTACATTTCCTATTAATGAGTCTACTTGGTCTAAATACTCTTCAATTTCTTTATCTTCATTTAAATATTCTCCTAATTTCTTCATTACATCTTTTGCTGCTAATGCTATTTCTTCTGTTTCATCTTTTACTAATTCTTTCATTAATCCATATAATTCATTATATAAACTAATATTTTCTGAATGACACTTTTCAATAAAGAAAATCAGTTGTTGAATACCAATAACTTTAATACTAACTGTTTCTTCTTTTTCTATCTCTTTAACTAACTTACTTAAAAATTCTTTGCATTGGGTTGGACTAAACAAAAATCGTGCTGCTTCTCCTGTTTTCCTAATGGATGGGAGTCTTTTATTTGCATCTTCTAAATTACAAAAAGAGTCAAAATCATTGATAAATTTCTCTCCATTAATCAGTTCAATATCTTCACTAGCAATAGGCTTTGGAATAGATCTAAACTCCATCTTCTATAAGAATGAAAAATTTTAAGTTCCAACGTTTTTTTTTTGTTATATTTTTAGGTTTTCTTTTTTAAATAACACAAATCATTACCAAAAGTAACAAAAAACATCAAATTAATTTAAAATTATGTCATAGTTTCTAAATCAAATTCAGTAAATGGAGAACATGTTTTAGGTACTTCTTTAAGATTAGCCTTATCCCAATCAATATACAAACGTAAAGCGTTTTGGTATTCAACAACTGAAGATTGACAATAAAGTTTAAGAAAAGAATAAGGAAGTGTTGTATCACCTTCAACAATCATTTTGATTTCGTTTAATTTCTGTTCAATACTATCAAAAATCACTCGATCAATATCTTCCATTTTAACACCACGTTTTAGTTGTTTTTTTATTAGAGAAGATTCATTTTTATCAAATTTACTCCAATTAAGATGAGACCTCCTTGTAAACAGGAATTTATACAATACAAAATGATGAAAGATTTGTCTGACAGTATTATTCCAATGGTTAAATAATTTCATAAACCATTTATCAATTAATAAATCTTTAAATAACATTAGTCGTGCCTTACCAATAAAGAAAAATGATGCATCATATAACATAGATAATGTATTAATTATTAATTGATAATGATCACTTTCAAATATTTTATTAATTCCTTCTATAAATACCTCAATTTCAAATTGTTCATTACTCATTCGTTTATGTTCAATTAATAGATTAAACCATTTTCCTAATAAACTTACAGCAAGGTCACATTGACTAATATCATATCTATTAGTATATCAAATAGTGTCATCATATATTTACTATAGTAGGTATCTATAAGTAACTTCTTTATCATTTCACTCATGATAG